GAAAATATGCCTTAGATCTATTACAAGAGACTGGTATGATAGCATGTCAACCAGCTGAGACACCAGTGGAAAAAGGACTGAAGTTATGTGTTAAGTCCAACCAAGTACCTGCTAATAAAGGAAGATACAAAAGACTTGTAGGGAGATTGATGTACTTAGCACACACGAGACCGGATCTGGATTATGCATTGAGCATTGTGAGCCAGTTTATGCATGATCCTGGAGAGCAAGATATGAATGCAGTTATGCGTATTTTGAGGTATTTGAAATCTACTCCTGGAAAAGGAATTTTGTTCACTAAAAATGCTGGTTATCAAAACATAGATGCATATACTAATGCTGACTGGGCTGGAGCTATAGATAATAGGCGATCTACTTTTGGTTACTTCACTTTTGTAGGAAGTAATCTTGTTACATGGAGAAGAAACAACATGTTGTTGGTCGCTCGAGTGTAGAAGTTGAATTTAAAGGTATGGCGCTTGGACTTTGTGAAACTTTGTGGTTAAAACATCTCTTGCGAGATTTGGGTTATCTACCTGGGCAACCGATTCGACTATATTGTGATAATAAAGCAGCATGTGATATTACCTATAATCCAGTTCAACATGATCGTACGAAGCATGTCGAAATAGATAGATTCTTCATTAAGGAGAAGTTGGATGGAAAAATTGTGGAGTTGCCTAAGATTCGATCTGAGGATCAACTAGCCGACATTCTCACCAAAGCAGTCTCAAATCAAGTGTTTTCAAAATTTTTATACAAGTTGGGCGTGTGTGACATCTATGCACCAACTTGAAGGGGAGTGTTGAGATTTTATCTCTTATAGTACAGCTATATGATTGATTTATTTTCTTCCTGATTTAGGGCTAATTGGTAGGTAATTAGTTACCTACTTTAGCTAGATCTTATTTTATAAATTGGATGTAATACCATCACTGAAAAATGGAATATAATTTTAATTTCTATATTTTTTTCACTGAATTTCAAGATGGTATCAAAGCAGGACTGACTCGCGCTTACCAGAATGAAAAAAAAATAATTTTTTCAGATAACCAAAGAAAGCATGCCCCAGACGTCGATGATACAGTTTCCCTCGCCTAATACCACAACCAATCGTCTGCTTTGTTTGGATGTCCTTAAACACATAAAAATCAAGCCAAAAAATGACAACACAAGATAAAGCTGTGGTTATTTAGGAAACTGACAAAAGATTAGAATCTAAAGATGGAACAACTAAAATAGAATCTAAATGCAGATTATCAGTGAGTGTCAAAGATCCTTCCCCAATAACTGGGGTCGAAGTCCTATTGGCAGTAGAAACAAATTTGTGTGAGGATGAATTAAGAGGTGAGACCTGTCTAGAATCAAATGTCATATGATCTGTGGCACCAGAATCAATTATCCATGCACTATTAGCAACATGTGTAGAAATATTGAAATTCTTACCAACAGTATCTGTTGTTTTAACAACTGCTGCAGTGGAGATCTTTGTTGAATTCTTCTTCCAACGACGATGATCCCACCATTCTGGATATCCCACAAGTTTGAAACATCGACTTTTGGTATGACCAATCTGGTTGCAATCAGTGCATTTGTAGGTAGACTTGTCTGCTCTAGATAATTTAATATTTTTGTCACTCATTTTTTTTTTTTTTTTTTTTTTGGAACTGGTTTATCACAGAACCAGTTTTCAAATGAGGTTACAAAACTGGTTTAGTTTTGAACTAATCCAGAACTGAAATAGTATTACACTTGTGGCCAAACAGAGGGTTTTGATATATATATATATATATATATATATATATAATTTTTTTCAAATAAGTAATTCAATTCTCATAAATCCCATGACTTTGGAGCAGAGAAGAGAAGGATGAGTTGCAGCGAATATGAGGGCAGTGATCCGGTGACGGCTGCGATAGAGACGAGTAGCGATCTGGCTATGGCTGCGACGGCAGCTTCGATTGAGGATGCGTCTGACGGAGAAGGAGCAGATCCGGCGAAGCAGCGGCGGAGAGCAGCCTGATTCGGTGACGCGACGGCGATGATCTGGCGACGCTATGATCCAGTAACGCGACAGTAGTTGAGGTGCAGCTGTTCGGTTTGGCAGAGAGCGTCGTCGTTTGGAGATCCGGCGATGCGACGGCAGAGAGTGTCATCGTTTGGAGATCCGGTGTTGTCGTTTGGAGATCCGGCAATACGACGGCAGATCGTCGGCAGCAGCAGCTTGTGATGGGTCCGTCGTATTTGTATTTGTATGGGTATGGTGTAAGGATATGTGTATAGGTATGGTGTAAGGATATGTGTATGTGTATGGATCTGTTGTGTAAGAGTATGTGTATAGGTTAATGAATAAAAATAAATTCAAAGAGATTCAAAGGTCTGGTTAAGGTACAGTTCGATGATGACTCTGATACCATCTTGAAATTCAGTGAAAAAAAAAATATAGAGATTAAAATTACATTCCATTTTTCAGTGATGGTATTACATCTAATTTATAGAATAAGTCCTAGCTAAAATAGATAACTAATTACTTACCAATTAGTCCTAAATCAGGGAGAAAATAAATCAATCATACAGTTGCACTATTAGAGATAAAATCTCAACAGGGCTTGCCTTCGTCATCGTCCCCGACAGGGCCATACCTTTAGGGAGCGAATGGCAGTACATGGGCTTGACAAACTCCACCAACCGTTTGGTGGCAGTCGAGTTTATTCATATTCCAATTTCTATGTATCATGTTGGAAATGTATACTATCTCCGTCCTAAAAAAAAGTGTCGTTAATGGGAAATCGTGTCAGTTTAATTTGTGAGAGTCATGGTTCTCCAAAAGTAACATTTTTTATGGGACGAATAGAATATATATCTTTATGTGTGTGTGTGTATATATATATATATTATATTTCGAATATATATATCTTTATATACGCTTGTAACATCACATGACAAACCCCATAAACTATTTAAACCATACACGGAAATCAAGAACACAACTCATCCTCTTTGTCTGTGTATGAAGAAATACCACAAAACTGACCCAAAATAATAGGTGTCTTTCAATTATAATCTCATGTTAGCAACAATAATGCAATCACCATGCACGTTTAACGAGATCAACTATCATTAATCAATGCATCATGTAAACAATACATGTACAATTACAAATTGCAATGATTCGGATCCGTGTATGTTGCGGATATATATAATATACTTCACATTTCTTTAAAATAGAGGTAGTAATATACTGTATATGTAAGCAACAATTGATACTAAGTAATATACAGTACATGTAAGCAACAATTGATACTAATTGATTCATAAGGCGGAGTAAACACTCGACGCAACACTACATATTCAGATTGAAAAAACCAAACCCGCCATATTTATATAATTCATATGAATGCAAATAATTAAAAATATGATCCTATTCATATACTCCGTATATAATACATTCCAATATTCTATCTTAATTTCTACAAAGCAAAAACCCTAACCCTAACTGACTCTAATACTAATTATTGAATTTTAATCAAATAATTAACATGTAAAAATTAAGAATATTATAATCAATTAAAGATGAGAATTTAGGCATTGTACATAATTGATGATTAAATCCCTGAATACATTTAGATTGTGAAGAAGATCCTTAGAAACTCACATTTTGAAACCGTATACATAACAAGATAGAAACAGCTAAATAAGGGATATAAACATATCACAATATGAAAAACTTAAATATGAATAGTTAGAATTAAATCACACTAAATAAGTTGAAAAACCACAATTTCAATAATATAAAATCATACCCACAATTTCAATAATATAAAATCATACCCACAATTAGACACCAAATTAAAAAATATGACCTAATTCATCAAGTCCATAATCATATTACAATTCTATTTTAGAAACCATAATGCATAGTAACACAAACTAATTTTTATTTATTTAAAAATTCTACACATGATGCATAATGCTGACCTATGAAGCACGGACACGTGTTATAGGGCTGAAGTACTGGTGTCGGACACGTGTCCGACACGGACACGAGTGTCCTAACCTCGAACACGTGTTCGACACGGATCTACCAGTGTCTTATTTTTTTATTCATTTTTTCAAGTCGGACACGCCGGAGGACACGATCGAGACACGCCGGAGGACATGGCTGGTACACTAGAGGACACCGGTGTAGGACTCGGTAGTTCAGATTAATAAAAAAAAAAAAAAAAATGGAAAGGATGAGAGAAATACTGGAAGGGAGAAGGGAAATCAACACAGAGATGATGAAGAATCATGCTCTGGTTGGTTATTGATGGAGGAGAAGGAAGATAGAAAGTTAAGAGAAGGAGGAGATGGCGTTCGGCAAGAATTCCGATTCCACTAAAGTCTCTCTTGTCTGGTTGCGAACAAATCTCAACCAAAGGCTTGATCGCCTTTTTCTTCCTCAGACAGTGAGTGATTATTGGTTAATAAAAGAGGAATTCAATTTTGAAGAGAGAGAGAGATAGTCAAACTTGGGAAGACCGATAAGATTGTAATCTTCTGTGTTTGGTTACAAAGTTAATCTTATCTTCTGTTGTGTTTGGTTACAAAGTTAAAACTATTCTACTATTGATACAAATTTTAGTATTGAATATAAAGATATATTAAGTATTTATTGTTTGAATTTTAATAAAATTTGGATTGGATTTAATTTAAATGGATCATGTCTATTAATGTAAATTAAAAATTAAGAGAAATTAAAATTTTATATATAATAAAAATATATATTATTATTTTTTCACTGTATCCTTGTTATGTCCGTATCTTATTTTTTTAAAATTTATCGTATCGCTGTGTCGGTATCTGTACTTCATAGATGTTGACTTAACTTTCTCCGGACTTTCCACTTTCTGTTAACGCAAGTTCCAAGCAATGATACATCATAAAATATTTAACAAAAAACCAAGAACCTATTTAAACCTGCTTACCTTTTCACTAAAAAAAAATTGAACCTATTCAAACCTCAACTCAAAGTCAACCAACTCTCTCAACATATTCTAATGGAGTAATAAAATGATCTCCTCGCGGTAATCAAAAACCCACTGATCTCTCTCCCTCTTCCATCTCCATTTTCGATTCCAATGAGTGCTCAATGCATGGGCCCGCTGACTGCAAAGCTTTTCACAATCCTCCCCTTCCTCTGTTTCTCGGCAGCGACGGTTTACGGAGCACAAAACTTCGAAGTCCAATACGATTCGTTCAACGATTCCAACAAGGACAATTTCGCGATCCAATCTCCTGCGGCCATCAGTAACAATGCCCTTCAAATCACCCCGGACACAGCCAGCAGCAGTTTCAGTCTCTACAATCGGTCTGGAAGAGTCCTTCTCAATCAGGCTTTCAACCTCTGGGAAAATGAAGTCCAGTCCAATTCCACCCGATCAATTGTACATTTTACCTCCTCCTTCCTCATCAATATCTATCGGTTGAACAACTCCACCGCCGGTGAAGGGTTCGCCTTCGTCATCGTCCCAGACAAGGCCGTACCTCCCGGGAGCGAGGGGGAGTACATGGGCTTGACAAACTCCACGACCGATGGCGATCCCAACAACCATTTGGTGGCGGTGGAGTTCGACACGTTTAAGCAGGACTTCGACCCAGACGATAACCACATCGGCCTAAACATCAACAGTGTCCGATCTAGAAATGTGACGCGTTTAACACCCCTCGGTATCCAACTCGCTCACTTGGAAGCCAAATTTTACAATGTTTGGGTGGAGTATGAGGGGTTTTCCAGGAACTTTATGGTCTTCATGACGGAAGGTTCGAAGGATGGTCCAACACCGGACAGACCGGACTCACCTGTGCTGATATCTAATTTTAAGCTCAGTGACGTGGTGGCTCAGTATTCATACTTCGGTTTTGCGGCTTCAACTGGCAACAACACGGTCCAGTTGAACAGCGTGTTGAAATGGAATCTGACCGTCGAGTACTATACTCAAAATATTAACAACCATCCGACCTCCTCGTGGCTGCAAATCGTCCTCGGGGCTGGGGTGGCGGTGCTGGTGATTGCGGCCATGGGTTTGGGCTATTACTTAAATAGGAGGAGGTTGGCGCGACAATCGGACCCTAACATCCTGCGCGCTCTGAAGAGATTGCCAGGTATGCCTAAGGAGTTTCGATTTAAAGATTTGAAGAAAGGTACAAACAACTTTCACGAGAGGAACAAGTTGGGTCAAGGAGGTTTTGGTATGGTGTACAAAGGGTTGTTACCGGGTGAGAATTTGGACGTGGCCGTGAAGTGGTTCTCCAGGGAGAGCATTAAGGGACAGGATGATTTCTTGGCCGAGCTTACCATCATTAATCGTCTCCGGCATAGACACCTCGTCCCATTACTCGGTAAGCCCTTTACTGATGGTCCAATGTGTTTAGTCTACAAATACATTACGAATAAATTTCTTAGTCCCATTTCATTAATCTATGGAAAAATTGGACTTTGACCAACCTTTGCTGAGATGCAACAACTCCGCAACACACTAGACAGGTCCTATTGAATTTTTTATTTAATAGAAAAAGATGAAGAGTCAAATTTGTTGAAACATATGGTATTTATATTATAAGGATAAGTAGACTCGGTCGCTGATAGTGACATTGTATCTTCCTCTAGTGTTGTTTTGGTTAGGAAAATACATTATTTTTCACTTGTATACATTGACGTGTTATTGTAGAATTATTTTGCGAGGTGCAACTCTAAGCTATAAGTTACGTTTATTCCCATTAGATTAGATATATATGAGAAATTAAAAGAAGTGGAGGACACAGACGTGCCCTTAATTGGTTGGGGAAAATTTAAAAACAATTTTTTTTTCAAACTATTAGGTTTGACAGTTAATTTTAACAAACAAATTACAAAAGTATACAAAACACTATTTAAATTCTTTAATGGTCCAAAATTTCCTTCTCTCTTTCCAAAAAGTCCAGCATGCTCTAAGTTCATAAACCTCCATTATTCTCGACGAGCTCCAGTACACAAAACAGAGCAACTCAGATAAAACAATGAAGCCAAAGCATCATGCACCATCATCGACAACGACAGTCCGTCACCCGCGCAACACGATCCTCAAACTCACCGGCGTTGGTTCACTACTGGTAAGTTCAATCCATACTTGCCCGCCGGTTCTGTCCTCATATCTTCGTTAGAGTTCATCCTCGCCGTCACTAAAGAGTGACAGTGGTGTTGGTAGTTAGGCCAAGGAAGACATTGAGGACCAATTAAGTGATGATGATTGGGAGCGAATGAATTAAGTGGGAGGTAATGAGATTTTGATCTGATTTATTGATGCAAATCATGTAGAAATTTCATAATTATTGGTGGAAACTCATAACTCAAATATGATTATATGAGGGCAGTACCATTTTAATGCCATTTACAGGGATGCTTCCTGTTGTTGAGTTGTTGAAAATAGCTCTTTTCCGGTAGATAATTGCTTGAAGTTACTCCTTTAATTCTTCAATAGGAGGATTCAAAGTTGATATTGTTCATTGCAATCTTATATAACTTTACCCATGGGCGGAGCCAGCATAGGCCGAGGGGGGGCCATGCTGGCCCATTAGTTTTAATTACAAAATGGCCTATAATTTAGAAAAGTTTTCAAAATGCTCCCCCCCCCCCCTACCGAAAATAATTTTTTTTCTTTCTAGAAAATGACCATTAATTTTTATTACACATAGGCCAATAATTTATAAAAAAAAAGTGAAAAATGCCCCCTGAAATAATTATTTACCCTTGGGCCAATTAATTTTTATTGCAAATAGGCCTATAATTTTTAAAATTTTACAAAAATGCCCACTAAAATAATTATTTTTAAAAAATATCTTTAATTTTTCCTTTCTTTTCATTCTTACTCCTCCTCCTCCTCCCCATCATCTTCTTCTTCTTCTTCTTTTTTATATTCTCTTAAAAAAAAGTTGCATTCCTTTATTCAAACTATATATATATATATATTTTTTTTTTTTCTCTTCAAAGTTTGGTAATTAAAATTGTTGCTAAAAGGACTCTTTAAGGTTGGTATTTTATGTTTCCATTTTTTTAAAATAATTAATTTTCAAATTATTAAATGCTTTTATTCCACCATTATTACAGTTCTATTTTTTGACTTATTATCTTACATCACTATTCGCTTGAAAAAAATATAATACGGTGCCCCCCCTAAACAAATTCCTGGCTCCATCCCTGGCTTTACCGGAGGCAGGTAGATAAAATTTTAGTTACATTTTTTGGAGTTTTAATGTATTGACATGTACCCAAAACTTATACTATTTTAGGTACTCTTTGTTTTATAAATAGATTACAGGAATAATATGAATGTGAGATTTTAGGTAGTGGCTGTTGCCCTATTGCATTTGATTTAGATAACGGGTGTCAAGTATTGCCTTGGAAACTTTTACAGTGGCTTACCAATGGAGGTTCAGGTGAGCCTTCTATAATATGCCGTTTTGTGTGTTGGAGCTCGTCGTCGAAACAATGAAGGTTTATAAAGACTTTTTGGGGAGAGTCAAGGGTGTTTTGAATTATTAAAGAGTTTAAATAATATTTTTATATACTTTTGTTACTAGTTTGATAAACCTAACAGTTTAAAAAAATTAGCATATTTGAAAATAGTTGAGTTTTTTTTTTTTTTTTTCCCTATATATGTTGGCCGTATTAATAATTTAATACCATGCTCGGACATTAGATTGGACGGCTTTTGACCTAGATTAATAAGGAAAGAAACGAGATAAATAATCCTATATGATCACTTCAAAATTTTAGATTTATGATCTATACACTTGAATTCCATATATTAAATAGCTAAACTCGAAGTACACTGCTCATGTATATATATAGTATATCATAAAATCAGAACTTGAAAAAACCTAATCTTGCAAAGTTCATTCCAATACATATGTATATATATCAATGCATAGAAATATATTAATAATATGTATTTGTGTCACACAGGATGGTGCCACAAGAATGGGAAGCTCCTCTTGGTATATGAATACATGCCTAATGGCAGCCTGGACAAGCACCTCTTCGGTAACAGTGCCGAGGACGAGCCCTTAAGCTGGAACCTCCGCTACAAGATCATCTCTGGACTGGCCTCAGCTCTGCACTACCTCCACAACGAGTACAATCAGAAGGTGGTCCACCGAGACATCAAGGCCAGCAACATCATGCTTGACTCCAACTTCGATGCCCGGCTAGGTGACTTTGGCCTAGCTCGTGCCCTCGACAACGAGAAGAACTCGTACACAGAGGCTGCAGGCGTGATTGGAACAGCCGGCTACATTGCCCCCGAGTGCTTCCTCACGGCCAAAGCAACGCAGCAATCTGATGTGTATGCGTTTGGAGCAGTGTTGCTTGAAGTAGTGTCTGGCCAAAGGCCTGGCACTAGAATAGGTGCATTTCATTACGTGGTTGATTGGGTGTGGTATTTGCACCGTGATGGCCGGCTACTAGAGGCGGTGGATGAGAGGCTCGGGGTAGATTATGTGGCGGAGGAGGCGGAGAGGGTTCTGCTTTTAGGGCTGTCTTGTTGCCATCCTATGGCGAATGAGAGGTTGGATATGAAGGAGATTGTTAAGATTGTGTCAGAGTCTGTCCCGGCACCTTATGTGCCGCCATTCAAGCCACCTTTCGTTTGGCCAGCAGTGGTGGGGATGGGCGGAGAAGATATTAGTTCCGCCACTACGGAGGATAAAACAATTTCGACCTCCCATTTTGGGCCTGAGTGGTCTCTACAACTCGCTCCTTAGTATTGACTTGTCTTGTGTAGTCTACAATACCCTCACTCAACCGAAAAGATATGGAAACTCTCAAATTATCTTGGAGTTTTTTTTTAGCATTTTAAGGCAATGATATGATATCATACTTGTTGGATAATAATAACCAAAATAAACATAAATTTTTCATTCTTTTAGTGTTGTTAGTCATCAATAAATTTGGTAAATTTATAAAATAAAATTTCAATGGCCTACCAGAGTCACTCTGTAGTAAAAATAAAATAAAATAAAATAAAAAAAACAACTTGACCGAGACCTTTATAAAAATGCACAAACCTCAGTTCGAGAAATAAGAGGATTACATTCAAATACATACTTTGATGCACAAACCTCAGTTCGAGAACGTATTCATTGAAGTCTTGATATAACAAAATTTGCTGTAAATCTAATTTTATTTATTTATTATTTTTATAGAAAGAATAGGTCAGCAGCCTTCTCTGTCACAAATTCACAACGTGAAATCATGCCAGAAATTATTCCCCACAATTGCATTCTCTAATGGTAGGTACGTATATTGTGACAAAAACTTGATCATATTAAAAGAAAAATAATATTTAAATACATACTTTGATGCACAAACCTCAGTTCGAGAACGTATTCAATTAAGTCTTGATATAACAAAATTTGCTGTAAATCTAATTTTATTTATTTATTATTTTTATAGAAAGAATAGGTCAGCAGCCTTCTCTGTCACAAATTCACAACGTGAAATCATGCCAGAAATTATTCCCCACAATTGCATTCTCTAATGGTAGGTCCGTATATTGTGACAAAAACTTGATCATATTAAAAGAAAAATAATATTTAAATCAAAATAGGGGATGCAAGGGCTTCCGCAATCCCATTTCGGCTGGCCTTTTAGGCCTTTATGTGAAAATAAAGTACCAAGGGAGAAAGCAAAAGTAGAAAACAAATGAATCAAAGATATAATAAGTTTAAGGATCATAAATCAAGAGTTTTTTGGTCTAATGACAACTCCTTTATCTCTCGAAATTAAGGTTGCAAATGAATCGACCTGTTCATAAACAGCTCGGGCTCGACTCGCTAAGGGCTCGGCTCTGGCTCGTTCGTTAAGTAAACGAGCCGAGCTCGAGTCCAATTTCTAGGCTCGTTTAGTAAACGAGGCGAGCCCGAACAATGTTAGGCTCTACTCGTATGGGCTCGTGAATAAGACTCATTTAGGCTCGTGAACAAAACTTGTATAAGGCTCGTTTATTAGCCATTTATTAGTTCTTGATCCAACTCATATGTGTGAGTCCATTACAATTATACATGATAAGCCCATTTGAAAACCATTACTATAATCTAAAAACAAAGCCCAAAAAAAAAATGGCCCATATTCATTTTTAAGACCCAACCCATTTATGTTGACAAACAAACCTTATTCTATATTTAAAGTGTTAGCCAATATAATACATTTGTTTGGCCCAACTTACATCCTTTCATTAATAAGGCCCAAGGACCATTGGCCCATCATCAAATTACGTTGCATCTTAGCCGTTGACTTTGGTACTTTAAGTGATAAATAAACCCTAAAGAAGACAGTTTCACCACGCATCCATCTTCATAGCTTCACCACATACACGCGCCGGAAGCCCTCACAAGCAACAGAGCTCCGATAAACTCCAATGCTGGCATCTCTCCATTAGCCACTCATCACTCTACTCACCGCTGTCATGAGGAAGGCTTACAGTGAAAGCATCATAAGATCTAATTTTAACTTCTTTATTTGTTTTTATTTTACTTTTTTCTTCTTCTTGGAGATTGAGATCTGATCTCATGAAAGAGAGCTTGTTTAGTTCTTTTTTTGAATCGGGAATTAATTCTACAACTTTGGAATTTTAACTTCTTTATTTGTTTTTTTTCTTCTATATTTTTCCTTTTTTCTTCTTCTTGGAGACTGAGCCATGATTTCGTGAAAGAGAGCATGTTTGTTTAGTTCTTTTTCTCTGATGACATCCCTGTTATGCAGAGGTAGGAAATAACATTTGGAAGGTTATGTTACCAAGTCTGAGCCGAGCCGAGCCTGAGGCTTTTGGAAAATTTACTCAGCCGAGCTCCAGCTTGGCTTAGCTAAGCTCGCCCAATACCGAGCCAAGCCCGAGCACTTCTCTGAGAGTGAAGAGCCGAGCCAGAGCCGGAACAACCCAAAACTCGGCTCGGCCATTTGCAGCCCTATTCAAAATATATGGTAAAGATTCTAGTCTTTAATGAAATAAAATTAGTGTGTAAATGATGTGGGTGAGTTTCTTATTAATAATCTTAAAAAATAAATAAAAAAAATTTAAGACGATAAAAAGTGACCACAGTCAGGTACATCTGATGCCGTGAGTGTGACCTTGGTGTTACGAGACGCGGGCCTCTCAATCAAATTTTGTACGTTTAGAGGTAGGTTCTTTGTTAACTTCAAGGCTGGTCCTTCCAACGACAAGTCATAGTACCCTTCTTTTTAAGGCAATGATGCAATTAGTTCCATCACTAGAACGACTCCAAAGTCATATAACATATCAGCCAACCATCCTTGACTTGAATAGTCAATACAACCCCTTATATCTATATATATATATATATATATCCTTCTAGTCTCATTGCCCTGACACATGTACATCGTTACACACCATACATTTATCAAAAGATAAAAGATAAAACAAGGTAAAAGATATGAGGTTTTGGACTCTAATTCTCTTTACCTTAGCCTCAATATTAGCTATATCAGCTGAACAATGTGGTAGACAAGTCGGGGATGCCCTAACACGGTCACGTGTTAACTGTATCAGCTGAACAATGTCGTAAACAAGCTTGGGGTGCCCTAACACAGTCACTCTGTAGTAAAATAAAATAAAAAAAAACCATTTGACCGTGTTAGCTATATAAGCTGAATAATGTCGTAGACAAGTTTGGGGTGCCCTAACACAGTCACTCTGTAGTAAAATAAAAAAAAATAAAAAACCATTTGATCCAGACCTTTACAAAAATGCACAATCCTCGGTTCGAGAAATAACAATTACATTCAAATACATACTTTAACGTATTTATTGAGGCCTTGATATAGCAAAGTTTGCTGTAAATCTAATTTTATTTATTTATTATTTTTATAGAAAAAAAAAAAAAGTCACAATAAATTCACAATGTGAAATCATGACGGAGATTATTCCCCACAATTGCATTCTCAAATGGTGGTAAGTACGTATCATGTGACAAAAATTTGACTGAAAAGAAAAATGATATTTAAGCTAAAATAAGGCATGCAATGGCTTCTACCAGTCATTTTGACTGGCCTTTTAAGCCTGAGCAGTATGATTCATGAGGAGAATATGTACTCCCTCCATTCTGGAATAATTATTCATATTAAAAACTGTGACTTATTATTTTAGAAGTAGAATACTAACTTAACAAAATAATTAAATGAATCAAGAAAAAGATATTGCAGACGGGTCCTTCCAATGAGAAGTCCCCATAGTACTACTGTGCAATTAATTCCATTACAAGAACTAGTCTAGAGTCATATAACCCAAAATATCAGTCAACCATCCTTGACTTGAATAGTCAATACAACCCCTTATATATATATACCCTTCTAGTCTCACTGCCTTGACACGTACATCGTTACACACCATACATTTATCAAAAGATAAACCAAGGTAAAAGATATGATGTAAAACTCTAAAATTTCGTACATTATTTTTTTATTATTTAGTATTTAGTATTTTAACGTGATAGTTGAGATAATAGAATTTTTTTTAAAAAAAATTTAAAACTTTAAATAAGAGTTCTAGGTTATCTCGAATACAGTTATATTTATCCTTTATATTTTACATCGTATCAGTACGAGGATATTATTTTTCATAAAAAAAAAAAAGAAGAAAGAAATTACCGAGAGAGAAAGAGAGGAAGCGGGTTACTGATTTTTCGTTGGCAATCTGCAGTAGCCGGAAAAAGAGACGGTGACCAAAGGATCGGCTAGAGAGAAAGGTTTAACGATATTTAACAGGCAAGTTAATCTTGCTTTATATACTTGTATATATACGAAACTCTGCCTAATTACGATTAATCAAGAATTAATATAACATGTTTTTATGAATTAGGGTATATCGATCTGATGTAAATTAGGCATAGAATGGCATGAAACTTTATCACATGTTCTAATAGCACTGAATATAAGTTTAAATGGAGGACACTTACTTGATGTGCATGTGTGTGTGTTTGTGTGTATAGATATTGAATAAATGTAATTCACATGTTTTTATACTTGCTATATGCATGGTTAGCTTGATTAATAGACTGATTTGATATTATATGTGTGTATATATATGGAAACTGATTTGGTGTTATTATATATCAATATACTTATACGAATTGTTTGATTTACGGAGAGTTAGAATTCAAGTTCAGCGTGGAATATTTTAATAAGTGAAATAATTTATTGTTGTAAGTCTTGCATTCAATTTGATGTTTCAAACTTAAGCTTTATTGACTACAGAAAGCTTAAAAATAGACTTTGGGGTCAATAGAAGGTAGAACCGTTAGATATTGGTTGGAAAAGAAAAAAACAGATAGAAAAGCAAATGCATTATGGTGGTGAAGACCCACTTTAGGTTCTTCTCTACGAAGCACATTCTTGGCAATGGAAAGTGAGGGAGAGTGTGTTGCCGTGAGACATCGGTTTGACTATTGAAAATTATCACTGGAATCTACTCGCCGAGCCTAGTCCGTTGGGGGCAATACTCGGGTTCAACCGAAATGAATAATATATTTAATTATTTTAAATTTTGAAAAACAAATATAGAAGAGTATTTTTTTTTAGTATTAAAAAAAAAAAAATTATTGAAATTCCAGAATATTAGTTTTAAGTATAATGGACTTAGTTTTGCTGAAATCCAGATTTTTAAATGACATTTTGGTAGTTTTACGAAATTAAAACCCGAAAAAAATATTATTTTTAGCACTAAGATGGAGAGTACGGAAATATTATTAAGACTTAGCTTTTGAAATTTTGTAGGGAGTCATATCTAATATTAGGCTATGTCCAGAATTTTGTACTCTCACTAGTTGGGTTTATAGGGTTCTGTTTTTAAATTAAAAGCGTGTTTGGGTGTATTACTTATTGATTTTAAATTATTAATTAATAATGTATTTCATAATTCACCATAAATAATAATGATGAATTTGGATTAGTCGGAGGGCAGTCAGGGACTGACTCTATGATGACTTTTGGGTATGGTCAGGGACCTACCTATTTGGGAGTGCACTATCCTTTTTATTATGGCCATGGGTCTAATGAGCCCTTATTGTGTG